GACAACTGGGGACTCTCAATTAATGTGAAGGAGACTTTTTTTTTTAAGTGGTTCTAGAGTCTTGTTGGAATCCAGACAAAAATAAAATCTTCTTTTGAAAGATTGAAGATATTTGGGTGGGAAGAGAAAAGAGCCTTTAAAATGTATCTGTAATGAGCCTGTTTTCTGCTAGATAAATCCTGGTGGGTGAGGAGACAGGTAAACAGACTAGTGTCACTGGTTTTGGGGAAGGTTAGTATAGAATTAATTCAGATAAAATTTATTTCAATAAGGTAATTGAACGTGATGATTATTTGTGACAGCTGGTGCTATTTCAGATTATAAGGTAGTTACACTTAGGTGGAACAAACGTAGCTGAGAGAGGAGAGCTCGGTTCTTCTAAGGTGCTCATTACACTCCTTACCCGGTAGGTGTGTTACTGCGAAATGGAAATGCTAAGCAGATTTATGGCTCCATATGATATTTGCAGGGTATTTCACTCAGAGGGGAATGATACTTACCTACCGCTATGATTGAAATGAATCTCTTGTTTCAGTAATTCGTAATTACATGAGCAATACAACACAGCACAGCAGTCAGGAGGTCTCTTCAGTTTTGTTGTGATGTCCCTGCACAATCTTAACAGTTAACCTCTTAGCTCATCTAACAAATAAGAGTTTGCCTGCTCACTGAGGTGCTCATGTTTAACTCGTGTTTATAAAATATCTCAAAAAGCTGAGAAAGAAGTTGCAGTATAAATGGAAAGTTTGTTTAAAGGTCCAGAACAGGAAGGCAAGATAGGCAAGTTCCTGAGCATATGAAATTTCTATTTCCTCAGAAGAAAAAATTAAAATGAATCCAACTATTAGAAACTCGGAAATAAATAGCATAAATCTTTCTTTAGCTTCCTGTTGTCAGGTAAATCTTGACCAAGATGTTACTTGTTTTCCTGATTCATACCAACCCTCAGAAAATTCCAGTCTTGGGTGCAATGTGGCTTACAGTACTTGAACATGAGCTGCTTGTTTCTGGGCATGTTTGTGATTTCTGCAGTTTGGGGAGCCACCACAGGAGTCCTGTGATCAAGGTTCATATCTCTGTGTTGTCACTCACTGCTGTTCACTGAGGTCACTGAGGGCTCTGACCGATAATTTGGCTTCAAATGACCAAGGATTTTGTACTTCCGCAGGATACTGCTGAAATTCACAGTACACAATGTTTTGAGCTTAGGGAAAAAAACCCCTCAATTAGTTGTTTTCTTCTTTTTAAAAGACTTGATAGTAAGGTAGTTTTTCAGGAGTTGGCAGAGGCTCGGTTGTTCATATGGAAAGGCTGATGGCTGGTGGCAGTAATTAGTGACTGTCCCTGTGACAATCAGAGTGCTCAGACTTAGTTTCTCAGACAGCGCTGCCTTCAAAAGGGAACTGAGAAAACGCCAACGATTTGAAGGTGCCCAGCTGATGAAGCGATGCTGTAAAAAGCGCATGAGATTTTTTAAAGTGGTTTTGTTTTACAAAAAGATACCTTTTAAACTAAAGCATACAAGAGCTTTGTCATGCAATAAATAAATAAATAAATATTTTGAAATCATAGTTGCCTAGCTATTCGTTTTGATCAAGTAACAGTTGAAAAATCTTGGCATAATTACTGTATTTACTTTGCATTTACCTTGATTTAGCTAAAGAAAATACACCAATTCTAAAAAAAAAATAGATCTCATTTTTACTTTTATACAGTCGTGCATGTCGTTTATGGATTTCTAGCAATGCAATGACTTTTGCTAGAGCAAAACAGGAAAAAAGGATATATACACCAGTGGATTCCTAAATAAAGTTGCATACACTTTGCATTTGTTATACATGTTTGGGCCTTTTCTTTTGGAGAAGGGACCGACAGGACACAACAGGGAATAACCTGTCCTGCAGCTGTTTTTCAGCTGTACTTGCTCGCGTTATTTGACCGTGGTTAAAAGCATTAAGGTGTAGAAAGCATTGCATCTTTCTTCTCCTGCATTCAGTCAAACCCTTATTTTCCAGTCACAGCATGAAGTCCTGTAGTCATGCCTGACCTGGCATACAAAGCTCATTCTGGAGGCATAGATGCAGCATAGAAGTTATTTCCGAAACCCATGGTTGACTGAAATCACTGCATAATGAGGGACTGGGGAGGGAGGGAGCACATGCTGTTAAGAGTTGAGTGTAAATGTTTGATAAGCTGCTTTAAAAGGTGATTGTGTTTCTTATTTTTAGTCAAGTGCCATAACTGACTAGCGCTTCTGGGTAGAAGTAGCTGATGGTGGTATAAACAATGAATTTCAAAAGGCTTTCACTGAACAAGACAGATGCTAATGTAATGGCTTTTGAACTGGCAAGCATTTGTGTTGTCAGTCTTAAGCAAAGAGCTCTGCGTTATGAGTTTCACTGTCCGCATCCTCAGTGGCGGCTGTTGAAAGTCAAAGTACATTTTTCCCTTTTCAGGTGCATTGACCTGCATAAATGATGCAGAACCTGCAGTAAACTTTGGATAAGAAAACACCTTTTTATAATTTGTAAGAGAAATAAAGGGAATTTTAAAAAAAGGATCTTAGCATGAACCTTGCTTATCAAGTCTGAGCAACTGAAAGTAAAATAAAATAAATAGTGTGTTTGCAGAATTCATTTCCCTTAGTTTGGATTAATCAAAGAGTGTAAGAGTGTAGCTTAAAGTCTCCATGCGTGGCAGTGGTAATTTAATGAAATGTAACTCCAGCTGCTGTATCAGGTACACCTTAGGGGCTAAGTCAGAGAAAGCTGGAAAAGGTATCTCAGGGCTTACCGTCCATGTGACAGCGGTGCCTTTTGCTGCCCTTTTAAACTTACCACCAAGTTTCTTTCTCAGTTGATCTTCCTTGCTTTCACCTGCTCCCGTTCCATTTTCTCTGGTCATAGAGGGTGCAGAACTATTTACGAATCACAGATGCAGGACAGAGGTACTAAAAGCCTCAACACTGAGTAGACACCGCTTTTAATTTTGTACAGGTTAATATTTTGATTGGTGTTCAGTGTTTTTTGAGGGACAGTAGCTTTATTAGAAGAGAGATGTTTTTGGGAATGGAAAGTACAGTCTTGCTGGAGCCAGTGACCAGACAGGAAGGGTAGAGACGAGCAGGGGGCTGAAGCTCCCCTGGGAGCCCTGCACTTCCCCAGTCACTCAGTGAAGGTGAGAACAGTCTGCAGGCATAACCAGGAACTGGTATCTTGTGCAACCTGAGAAATTGCTCAATTCAGCAAAGTTTCTCAACAAAGGAAGCTTAGGAAAAATAGAGAAACTTGACAGGTGCAAACAGGACAGTGTCAACCTGCTCTGATTTACTGTCCTAAAAGAGAAGCAGTCAGTGTTGCAATACAGAGACGTTAATGCTATAGTGCTTACTGGTTTATTCTATGCTAGGGTTCAAATACCAAATTAATCTGATTTTTTCATTTGTGAACAGCAAGTACTTTGCAAACGTTTGTCTTTTGGTTTCACAAGACAGCTTTAACTGAAATAACTTGTCACTACTGAAAAAGGTAGGGCTTGTTTCTCATCCTCCATTTCTCCTCCCCACTCCTACTGCTTTCCTTTGGTGCTCGTCTTTTGAGAAGTCCAGACAGAAATGAAATAGACTTTTTTTCCCCCTAGTTATACTAATTAATGTCACTACAAACACAAACTTGGATGCCAGAGTTACTGCTTATTGAAAAATCTGAACTTCATGGTGTATTTCAAACTACTACTACATTTGGGACAGCTTTTGTATATGCTTCCTAAAACCTAAGCTAATGTGGTACTTGCAAGCATCTACTATGCTGTAAATTAAGGGAATTTTTTCATCTTCCCTATTACAAAATCACTTTTTCCCAAGGTTGGAAAGCTATTGCATAGTTAGGGAACTTTTTACCTGTCTACGTGTGCTCCCAGTGAGGTGCAGCTTTGTTAGCAGAGACGCTTTGTAACAGCACTTCTGGGTTTGGAGGGAGGTGGAGGTGAAGTAGGGGGGCATTAATGGTAGCTGAGGGCAAGACAGCCAGGATGAGCTGTCAGTGAAAGTTTGGGAGCCTTTGGTAAGGATTCCCACTTCTTGTTGACCAGCCCTTTCCCCCCACATCTGACACAAGCAATTGGAAGCTAAAGTTAACTATAGATGACAATTTCTCAAATGAAAAAGTGTTTGACAAGTGTGTACCCACCTTAGTGTTGTGGCTTGTCCTAGACTTTGCTGAAGAACTTCTGAGGTTGTGGGCAAACAGCAGCTCTGGACAGCAGTGGTAGGAGAGGTGTTACTGCATCGGCCAGGACTCGAGGAAGTATTTTTAGGGCTGCATCCTAAATTACCTGAGAGGAAAATCAGCAAGGTTAACAGGTCATGCTCTTTACAGTTGCAGTTATATAGGCACTGCTTGTGCGGGCCCAGATACGTTTGTTGTTTAAAAAGGAAAGCTGGGACAGGAATGGCTGTGCTGCCTTCAGGGCTTTAGCAGGCTCAGTTTTCTTGCAGTTACTTATCCATAACTGTTTCTCATAAATTATATCCCAGCAGTTAAGCTGGATGGTCTATCATGAAGTCTAAGGCTTTACTTAGAATCGGAACATTAAAACAAATGCCCTCTGGATCTTCATTGTTGTAGCACTTTAAGCTGTGGTATGGTAAGAGATCTTTGACCAGCAGTAGATGTTTTTGTGCTTAAACTGAACAAAGTGTGATGCGAGTCTTATTTAAAACATCATGAATACCTTCCATAATTAAATTAAATACAGCTTACTGAAAAATAAGCTCAGACATTAAAGATGTTGGTATGTTGGTGCTGAAAGATATTTTAAAAATGCATAATCTTTAATGTTGATAAATTTGTATAGAAGGTAGGCAGAAGGTTAGTGTCTTTCAGGACAGTTGTATGCCTCTTGCTTTCTCAGATATCAAAAGAAGGATTCAGGATTTCTTTGTATTTATGCTCTGCTTAATGTCTCCTTATCTTAGACTTTTTTCTCTCTTTCAGGTGGCTTGTTATTGCAGTTGGTCTAGTTCGAGCATACGTGGCTAAAGGTAGCTACCATAGCCTTTACTATTCCATAGAAAAGCCCCTGAAATTCTTCCAGACTGGAGCTTTGCTTGAGGTAGGTGTAGCCTTCTTCCCTAGTGTTACTCATATTTGCATGTGTGTTGTCTTAAGGAGAAATAGGCCGCCTTTGCTGAACGATGCTTTCTAGGTCCCTGCTTTTTCACGAGCATTTATAGAGTCATATGAAGGCAAACATAAGGAATATGCCTCACACAAATACTGAATTTTTCCTTTTAGCAAGCAGTGGAGGGAGCTTACTGTCTGCTATTTAGCTTGGGCAGCAGAGCTAAATATTAAGCTTAATGTACGAAATACAAATATTGAATCTTAAGCTCTTGTGATAGAACTAAATGTGTTTCTGAATTGCTTCATTAGTGATTTGAATTTTTCTTTTTTTGTTCTAGATTCTGCACTGTGCATTTGGTAAGCTTGCAAATTTTCAGTTTTACTGTATTTATAGAAGACTGCGGTTTTAGCAATATATTAGCATTAAAAATGTTATGGTCAAAGAATTGCTGAAGTTATTTCTTACATAGCTCACTAATTTTTGCTGCAAGTATGTTCCAGTTCTTTACTAAATAATTTGACAAGTTGAATAAAAAAGAAGGAAAATAGCATAACAGGTTTTCAGTTACTTGACATTGTGTTTCTATCTGCATCCTTCTAATGCTACAAATCTTAGAGCAGTTTATAAATGTTTTATGGTAGATCATTACGCTCCATCTCTACATCCTACAATCTTCTGTAGCAATTTGTTTTTCAAAAAGAAAGATACTTCTAGCTGGAAATTTAAATTCCAGTAAAAATAACCTGTCACGCACTAGAACATTGCACACATCCATAGAGCATAGATACGCAGTGTGAAATTAGGAAGGGTGACCACTCCTTATCCCAGATTGGGCTCTGCTTTAATGGAACTGTGTGGGGGAGTCAAAATTACTGAAGTCTTGTCTCGACAATTCTTGCTAGCCTGTAGTGTGAGGCTCGGTTGTTAGCTTGGTAACAGGAACTCTGTTGTGTATGTGTGTGTGTATATATGTCCTGGGGTCAGCAGCAGTGGCATAGTTCAGTCAACCCAAAGTCTCACATCTGAGTGACAGGATCACATCTTGCCTGCTTTGGTAATCATTGCGAGTAGTGAGCAGCTTGGCCTCAGCATTTGGATGTTTGGTTCATAGAACAGCTGATGTGTCGCAATCTCTGCAGGATCAAAGGCAATGTGCTATAAAAGGGAGCAGTGCCTGTCTGCATACCTCTGCTTGACTCTGCTTTTTCTGACTGATCCAGTCCTCACAAAGATACGGTCTTACGGCCAAGTATTGGTCTTGAGGCTTTAACTGTGAGTGTTTGAGCTCCTATCTGAATGTTTGCTGAAGGGTATGATGGCATTAAGGTTCCCAAAGCTGCGGCTTCAAATCTGCTATTGTTCATGTGTGGTACAACCAACCTACCCAGTGGTGGGCGTATCACTATGGTACAAGTAGGTGCATACTGAATTCCCACGTGAAAGATCTTTATTTTTTTTAATAACCACATGTGGTAGTTGGAAAATTTAAAATCATATACATAAATTTGTCAGCAGAGGGCAGTCCAATTCTGTATTCGACAGCGTAATTCAAACCTTCCTGAATGATTTGGTTACTCTGAAAATGTTATCTTGTGAAGGTCAGTTTGTAGACTGTGCACAGATCATCCCAAGAAATGAATGATCATATACTCCTCAAACTTAACGTAAAGGCTTCTCAGAGTAGACTGTATGTATCATATAGTTGGTTACCTGGGGTGCCAAAGCAGTCCTTCCCATTTATTTTATTAAATCTCAATTACTGTTTCTTACCAGAATAAACCATACTTATTTTTAAAACATTTGTCAAATACTAATAAATAAGACTTCAAAAATTTAACATTTTATTAGCAGTTGGCAAGAAGGCCAAGTTAAATCTCAAAACACTGAACAAAAAAATTTGCAAATAAAATGCGATTTCACTCTCTTGAATCTATAATGCTCTACTGGTTTTCTGAGCTAAACTTGTGTGCAGATGCCAGTGTTTGCTGGTACTAAATCTAAGAAGGAGTGTAAAACAAATGATTGTATTATCTTTTCCTCAGTTCAGAGTGGATGTCCACAGAACTCAGTGAACAGCAGGAGGGAGTCCTGTGTTTCACCTTCCAGGCTGGTTTAGAACACCACCCAAGATGACTGTACCACACTGTCTGTGTGTAAAGCTAATAATCCTGGCTCAGCTCATGTGAGGTGCGGATCCATTTAGCCCATGTTAGCCTCAGTCACCCAATTTAATGTTAGCAGAGAGAGCCATTAGTGGAATGTTGCAACATTTTGTATCATTGTATCTCTCTCTTTTTGTTTTCCCTAACATTTTTTTTACACAGCCCCCCCTTATTTTATTGTAACTGCCCATGGATTTTTTTTTCTGTTTATTTTAGCATTTGTCAGCTAAATAAATGATTTTTTGCACAGCTGGGTACACTGCTGCTGTCTGCTGTAGTCCTGCTGATTCTGATAGAAGTTTCTATGCAGGGAGAAACAGGAAATTTGCAGATTCCTTGCCCCTGTTAAATTAACTATGAAACCTACAGCTCTAATTCTCTGTCAGTATGTCAGTAGAGGAGCTGATCTGCAACAGATGGTTGTATGTGTCAGCATCGCTTTTCTCTCTACATCTTTTCAGTAGAATCTGAAATGTTAGCATTTATGAGACAAGTTCTTCAAAATATGAAGATAGGGGAATGTCTCTGTCAAGCATGGTTGAGAACAGGACTTTGGCATGTGGCAAAGATTTAAAAAAAAGGAGGAGGAGAGCTCCCTGTGAAGAGAGGAGGAAACATGTAGCCCAGAGACCAAGAGGAGAGACTGAAGGACAGGCAAGTGGAAAGTGGACAAGCAATTCCTTGACTTGTGTAACAGACCCAAGCGTATGCATGGCAGTGATAGCAGGGAAGAAATTCTACCTGGAGGAACTTGGTATGGAAAGAGATGATAGGAGCCACCAACATGAAGAAGCAATAGTAGCACAGGGAGTTTGTGAAGGGAATGGAGAAGAAAAGCAAGAAGGCTTTGCTTGGTACAGAATTACTACAGCACCAGCCTTGTGGTGTCTGAATAGCAGAAGTCCTGCTCTGAGGTTTTAAAGCAAATTAGATTATGAACAATATGTGATAAAACTGAAGAGAATTGTGTTTGAAGGATTTTCCCCTCTTTTTACTCTGAAAGAAGACTAATGTGACGGCTGTGTGACTGCAGATAGTTCGAATGAAACTTGCTTTTGGCTTTTCTTACTCTTTTTCTTCCACTTTCCAGTTTGGACTTTACATCTTCCTGAGGTTGTTGTGTTGCTTGCTGTGATTTGCATTAGTTTTGGAAGATTTTTAACTGTATTTTAGGAGCTGCAACTTGTCTTGTATTTGTCTTCATCATGCTATTGGAAGAAAATAAAATTTTGTGCTGTGAAGGTTAAAAAATTTGTGTAATCTTGCAGTCTAAAACTACTCTTGCTCTGTCTGACCTGGATGTGTAGGATGCTTTTGGTGGCAGTTTAATTAGCACCTTGGAACTTGCTTTGAAGAACCAGTGAAGTCTGCATCCTTGAGAAAATCTTACAATTGTGTCTGTACCTGCTAATGTATCAGCTATTGGTTGGGTTTTATTTTTTTAAAGAACTGTATTCCCAGGAAAGAATTACAAACTTTGTATCTCTCAGAATTTGGGCTAGATCAGTGGGTTTTTTTAAGGTAGTTACACTTTTTGCTTGCTGCTTTTTGGGATATGCTGTGTTTTTACTTTTGAAGTCACAGTAGTGAAGAATATACTGGATGTTTTAATCAAATAAGGTTTATTTGAAAGACTATCACAAAAGGTATTTGATTGAAGCTGTCTTACTCAGCTGTTCTGTGTATTAAGGAATGCGCTGTGATTGGAACAAAACTGATTACTTTTATTTGTAATTTGACACACAAAGTCTAGTCAGGGGATTGCATTGCATTAGGCATGAGCACACCACAGGACAGACTTTATACTCTCAAATTAAAGAACTTACTGCTTTCCTTCTGTAATTTTCAAATAACTAGACTCTAGCTTAGCTGTGTTTTATTTCCCCACCTCCCACCCTGATGGTGAGGAATATTTACTAATTGCAAAATATCTTCCAGGCATTGTTCCCTCTTCTGTTGTTCTGACTGCTTTCCAAGTGATGTCAAGGGTTTTCCTGACGTGGGCAGTAACACATAGTGTAAAAGAGGTAAGTTAAGCTACAAAAAAAATAGAAAAACAAATGACCCATGATGAAAATCAGGTGTTGATTGTTCTCTTATTTTCGTGAAGATTACTTCTATTTGTATCTCAATATGCGAAATTGTTTGTGTGCATTTCTGTGGATCAGAAGACGTAGAAGTAGATCTGATACCATCCTTTTCTTGACGATCAAATAGACTGAGGTCTGATTCTCTCACTGTAAGACATCTATGTCCTGAATTTGCAGACCTTACTGAAAGTTAAAGAGGTTCCAGTGTGTAATACGGAACCCAGAATTTGGGACAGTGTTCTAGTATGGTACTGCCATGATTAATAGCAAAATCTCCTCACTGACTCCCTTTTGCATACACAATTTGCCTTCTTTATCATGGCATGCGGAAGCTCCCCCTTCACTCTTTGCGCACACCAGTGCCTGGATGTTCTCTGTTATCACTTTCCAGGATAATCTTTCTTTTGTCCTTCCTTAATTTTTCTTACATTCCAGCGTAGGTGGGTTTGAGGCCTGGTCATTTTTTCCTTACTGCTTACCAAACCAAATATCGCTGTACTTTATACAAATCTCTGCAGAATGTTTTGGAAGCAGTCTTATTTGAAAATTATTCCTGACAGCTGTTTTAAAATCTAAACATACTTTAGTTGATACAGATCATGCTGACTGACTCTTTCATGTCACCTGAATGTGTTGTCGTAGCCCTGAAGCGCCGCATCCGTGCTGTTACTTTAGCCAACCAGTCTTCCTGGCTTTCTTCTGAGTAAAGAACAAACTTAATCTTGATGCCATTGTCAGCACTGCTGCCTGAAATAAGTCATCTAGTGTCATTATATGCATAAGATCTTTTGTGACTTGACATGGAGAATGCCTCATGGAGCTTGTCTTATTACCAAGTCTTGAGTGAAGCTGCTTTCTCTTCCTTAATCCAAACCTGTTATCAGTGCATCCATCCATAGGTAGAGTAATGTAAGTCACTGTAGTTCCTAGTAATTAGCAGCCTTTTCTGATATTAGGATGCTTGTCCATGTGAAGCCTGAGTTTCACGCTATGAAAGTAGAGGAATGCTATTATTTTCTTGTAAATACTTATTTTCTGATGGATTTCACTTTTGGCGCAAATAAGCGTACTCCAGTCTCTGTTAACTCACAAATTTTAAAAAAGCACCATAATCCCAAGACATTAGATTTTAGATACATGTATAAAATACTTTTAAAGAAATATGCCTGTAGTTTTGCTTGTTCTCTGTATAATGTTGGGGTGCCTGGTGCTTCATAAAGAACAATGCTAATCTGTTTTTATGAATTGCCACCTGGTTTTGAAGCAACCCAAATGTTAAAGGTTGGGTTGCATGGATTAGAATGTTTCCATGTGTTGCCTGTTAGACATCAAAGGGAAGTCTATAAAATTATGGTGGGTTAGGTTTTTTTGAAACTTATGCCCACATTCCTGCCAATGAAAACTAGCAAAATGGGACAGAATGAACAACAAGTTCAGCCTAACATTCAATTTTTAATAAAGATTCTTTCAGTGATGTTACACTTGGTTTTTTTTCCTCATGTTTGTGTGGTCTTTTGGTTAAAGTCTTGCGGGAGATGGTATTATGTGTTACATTTTTAAATGTCTTAGAAAGTGGGCATAAGAAGCTGAGGATGAGGAATCGAGTGATGAGTTTTTTTTCACCTGTGACTTAGAGCAAATCAGCCGCCTGAAGAGGCTGTACTCTGACCCCTCCTTTCCCCCAGCCAGAGAGCATGCAGTCTCACCTGGGGAGATGTACTGAAAGTGTCACGAGTGTTCTACTTTTTCTGAAGGGCTGCCTGCACAAGTGAGCTCCATGGTGAAGTCCAGGATTAAATTCTCACACAGCTTTATGGAACTTGTAAGCTATGCAGTTGCATGATGAGGTTCTTGTAAAATGAAACGCAATTTTCCTCTTTAACTTTTTGAGTGAGGCTTGTTCAGTATCTTGCTTTTCCAGACTGTTTTCATATTTAATATAGTTAAAAGAAGAAACATCTATTTTGCATCCCTCCTTTCTGTCAGAATACACTTCTAGATATGTGATGTGATTTGAAGCATGCTTCTTGCCACTAACATGTTTGTGCTTTTTGTTGAATTTAGTGCTGATGTGTTGTTAAATTCAATATGAAAGTATAAATGTTAAAAGCATGGCAAATATTAAAGCACTGCACACTTCTTTGAGTAACAAGGAGATTCCCCTCACCTCTACCTAATGAGTAGCTGTTGGCTTAGTAGAGAAGGGAAAGGCATTTTTACTGTTTCTTATCCTACAAAGAAGGGAAGAGAATGAGCAGATGGGTGTGAAGGGCTAGTAGAACTAGGCACAGGAGAACAGAAGGTGTCCTTCAGGTCAGAGTTGTCTTTTGAATTTGTGTAACAGGGAGATCATCTGGTGACATCATGGCAGGACTTTGTGGAGTTCTGTTCCAATAGAGAATTCCTCACCCAGTTCTGACAAGTAATTAAAAAAATGTTTCAGCAGTGATTTAATGGTCATGCAATTGGGTACAGTTAGAGATAAGTTGCAGATAAGTATAGTGTATGTTTAGAGGAACCTTTCTAGAACAGGCAGTCAAAAGGGGTTCTGTGAAGGTGACATGTACAGCATATTGAGCTGGTAATTAAAGACTCCAGTATCTGCAGTTGTGAATTGACCAATCAGTAGGAAAGCATATTTAAAATGAAAGAGCATCTTAATTTCTGATAGTTAAGACTGAGTTGTAGAGGGGAAAAAAAAAAGCCCATACTGGAAAGTTCAGAACTTAAATAGGTGAGTGCAGTTGAAAATCCTGGTGCATCACTGCTTTACATCTATGTAAAATTTGAGTACTACTGTCAAACACCCATGTCTGTCAGGACCTTTGTGCCTACTGTGAAGCTGCAGCTCTCTGGAGGGAGGCGTGCTGTTTCATTACAGTTGCACAGTGCTGCTGGTTTTACTCTTCTGCACTGGATTCCTTAATTGTGTGCTTAACTGAAGTTTTCTGAAAATAAGTTGTCAAACTCTTAACATGGAAAAATCAATAGAATTTCCCTTTTCATGCATAAGAACAGTAAAAACCTCTCAAGCTTTATTTTGTCAATTCCCAGTTGTCATCTTTGCATCTTAAAATGCTATGGGTTCTCTTATATTTTAACAATATAGCTGCTATTCATAGTATTGAAGATAAGCTAAAATATATTCAGGACTCTCCTTGATGATAAATCGCTTTGAAACACATGCCAAAAAATTATGCCTGTGGTATGATTGACCCTTATTAAGGCAGCCGGACAAACAAGTTGTAAATAAGGTATAAAATGTGCTTTCACGTTGTCTAAAACCTCCTTCAAAGAGTGGTATGAGAAAGTAAAGGAAGAGAAACTGAATTCTGAGGACAGCATTGGTCTTATTAAAGGTCTGCTGTTTATGGGCTGTAGTGTCCCCCCTTATGCTCAAATTGGAGGAGCAGCAATACAGATGTAGCATTAGCAGTGCTGTGATGAAGATGACCCTGAAGAGGCTGTTTTGTAAATCGGTTCCCAGGGGTTTGATAATGTGCATCTTGGACATCTTTATTTGAAGTATTAAAAAATTCAGTCCTCAAAGAGATGTTCTAATAGTGACAGGCTTCTGACAGATCTGTTGGTGTGTAACAAGTACGCTTTTTAATGATGAGCTGTGGAACATAGTTAAAACACAATGATAAAAAGCACAGTAGTCTTCTGTTCCTTACTGCACAGAATGGAACTATTTGAAAACTGTATAGGTCACTTTTGTATGAAAACTACCACCAATTTCTAGTATTCTTTCTTCCTTAAACAGGGACACAAGCTGTGATTCTTTGTTAGGTGACCTTAACAGGGTTGTGTGTGTGTGTGTGTGTGTGTGTTTTATAAGGCTGTGAACTGTTTTACTAACTACTAAACACAGTTCTAATATTAAGGGAGATGGGAAAAGCTAGGCTTGAGAAGGCAGTGTTACAGAAATCCTGTGATAGAACTGGATTGTAACTACCAGATTTTCTACTTCTATGGGTATCATTCACTGTTAGCTTCACAGTTTCTTGTTTCTTTCTTAGGTGCTACTTTAAGCTACAGATTTTTGGTTGTTGGCTTTACTGCCTTTCGTAGTTAGGG